TATATATACTAAGACGTTTTAATCTTACAATTATTTAGGCTTACCTGATTAACATAATTGTATCATTTATGTCTTTGTTAATTTGCGAAAAAAAATGTTCCAAAAAGGAAATGTCTGTAAACCTTTCACAACATGGTAATGGTAATGGTGGGATATTTGTAGTGCGCCTTCCACAATAAAATCGCCTCAAGGCGCCGAAGAAAAAGTAGGACCATAAATTATAAAAAATCAAATTATATTATATCTTAAATTAATTAGCCTGTATTAATCAGAATATTTTTTTTGTATTTGTTATAAGTTAAATAAATAAAAATGAATAAATAAATAAAGTAAATAAATTAATTAATAAGTAAACAAATATAAAATTAAATAAAACATACATACCCTTTTCTCATAAATACTAGTACAAACATAGGGATAATATTACCATTCGTGTGTCGTGTGTTTCATTCCTTTCGACTATATTTCTACTCCGTTTTAAAAAATACAAATTATAAAAAGTTCTGCTTTATTTATAAGACTCAAGTTGCTGCGTTATTCTTTTTAACTACTTTTCACATCTGTGTGACAGTTTCCCTACAACTTTTGCGTCCTTCTAACTACTCATGGTTTTGTGTTGTTCATCTTGTCGAGTTATTAAAGGTTGGTAAGAAATTAACCCGTAAATCGCAGCGTCATTGTGCCTCTCCGGTTTTTAGTCCGTATCCAAGAAGACTTAGTTCTACCACACAGACCATGAGATAGACGCAGGCGGGTCCAGGGGCCGGATTTATCTCGAATTGAAGCCCCTGGGTTTCTTCTTTTTTTTTTTTTTTGCGAACTTTGGATGGGCTTCTTTTCAAGATGGGCTTCCTTTCGAGATGGGCTTCATTTCGAGGCTACTTCTGCAAAGTAAAGATTGGGGCTTCTTTTCAGAATGAATGCTTTAAATTTTGTGAATTTGTACTAAAACAATAAATAAGGCCACTGTAACATAAATTTATATAATGAAGTGTATTTAAATGGCATCAAATCATCTAAACTACTGTATAAACCAAGCTTGTTTTTAATTTAGGCTATTTTGTTTTCTAAAATTCATGTAAAGTGTTTGTACTGTCATCATCATCAAAAAGAAGCCTACGCTATCTTGAAAAGAAGCCCATGGGCTTCTTTTCAAGATGGGCTTCTTCTCGAGGCTACTTTTGCAAACTAAAAAGGGGAGCTACAATTCAAGATGGGCTTCATCTCGAGATTAAGCCCACTGGGCTTCAATTCGAGGTTTTACGGTATTGCTTAACTTAAAAAATGCGTAAAAATAAAAAGTCGATTGTACGCATGAACCATCTAAGACGATTTTTAAGCTAAGATTTTGCTAAGATGATTTTATAAATCAGCTTAAGATATTTACTCAGGGACATCTAAACTTTTTTACTTAAGACATTTGCTTAGCTTAGATTGATAAATCCCGGACCCGGTCTTACCACTCATCGATTCGTATCGCTGATGTGGTTATCAGTATTCTTTTTGCTGCACAGTGTTCACTACTCGAGCAGTTATTTTTTCATTTGTTTGTCCTCATATTTCAGTTCACTATTTATTTAATTATTTTCTTCTACTTGTTTTGTTTGTTCCTTTTTTAAATAATTATTTTAATCTGCATGTATCCAATAATATTTATTTGTACTTCTTATTATAGGCAGATGTGTTCATCTAGGTGATTCTATCTACTCCTGTCCTTCGGTTAATCCTTATTATCGTTCTTATTTTCATTCAAGAAGTTTATACTTGTTGCCATAGCAACTATGTTTGTGATCCTGGTCAACATCTTTTGTAGGGTAGCTAGATATCTATGATTTATTAATTCTGTACCTGTACGGTGGTGACGACCTGACAGGCGTGGTTCCCTCTCCTATTGGACGTTCAATGGTTCTGTTAATGTCGTTTGTTTATTTTCATTTGGTTGTACTGCTATTTTACTAAAGAAATTGCAAATGAGGTGTTCAATAAAAACATGACAGTCTGCCAGCAGGTGCTGGCGGTTGAACTTTAAGTTGAGAGTTGAGGCATATTTGTTCATCTGCATGTTGTTTGTTTTTTTGTTGTTTTTTGGCAATTGTATTTTTCCATACACAGATTAAATAACATTATATAATGCGTGGATGGAGAAGTTTAGACATCAGTGTTCCAGTAAAAAATATAAAATTAAATAAAATATTGCTTG